TTCTATGATCTGTTCATGTGACCAAAGTAGGCAGGTCCTAATTGGTTCATTTTGTTTTGAAAACAATGTGTTAAAAGCCCCAGTTATGTGAAGGCATACAGAACCGGATCAGAGAAGCCTGAGTTAAATAAGAACGTTCAACCCACTCTCAGACGTTCATATCCATTACGCTGTGATAGGTTGAGCCAGCCAACTTATACAAAGTCCAGCTATGTTGAACTTGATTTGTAGAGGGGTCTTTACATTTGTCAGCCTCCCTCTGATCTCATCTTTTTCTTTTTTGCAGCCCACAGTGATTCAGGGCATAACAGAGTTCAAGAGGAGTCTGCCTCTGTTCCCCGTGGTCAAACCTCACATCAACCTCAAGGCAGCCAAACTGTGAGCGAAGCCGGCAGGTCGACACAGCACGGAGGGTGGCTCCTGCCATCAGGAAGACCTGCATGAGTGTTTGTTTGCGTGGATGCATGTTGAATGCGGGGGTGTGCACGTGTAGCAGGGAGGAGCCACTCAAAGAGGAAACAAAAGAATCACAAAGTTGTTGACGTAGCTGTGATAATTAGAGGTAACGCCAGAATCACCTCATGTAACGTCTCCTATTAGAGACGTAAGCTCACGCTTCACAGCACTGCGTAGGCTGCTGTAGACGAAAAAGAAGCAAAAAACAAAGAGAGACCCTTTAGGTCCATGCCTGCATGGAAACGTGTTTGCCTGAAAACGGCTCAAATTTGTGAGATGTTTTTAAATTTCTAACTACTAAACCATGCTCATACATCTTTCTTTTTTACTGCATTTTACAGTAGCGTGTCACTCAGACATCTCAGGGGTATGTCCATGCCGTTTGTTTTGGGGTTTTTTTAAATTACATTTTATTAGTAAAGAAAATAAAAATATTTAATCTGTCATCTACATTAGTACGTTATTCAAGTTTCAGTGTGAAAAGTAACCGCTGTAGAGACATTTCGTTTCTCTCTGTTAAAGCTTTGGGGAGGTCGTCAGGATCTGTTCACTCTGCATGAGAGACTTTCTGCAGCTGCTGCCTTCAGATTAGTTTGTATCCTGGTCTGATGCCTTAGTCTATTACTTACACAGCATGTAGCTCCACAGCGTCTCAGGAGAGCCGGTGATAAAGCAGTTTTCACAGAGAGGGTTAGAAAAACATATCAGGCTTGGGCGGGCCGTGCACTGTTTGACGTGAATTACCTAGTGAGTGGTTTTCATTTAGAAAATCTGATTTTTAATTTCTGGATGTATTGAATGACTGTGATTGGCTGGTGGGGATCATGGGCAGGTGAAGAGTGCTGAGTTTGGTCTTTTTATGTTGTTTTTGTGTGTTTCTAATTAATAAACAGCTGAATGGAAGCTAGTCTGTCGCACTTTTCCAGTCTCAACACATGCACGTCAACATTTGGAAAATACATTTATTCACAGAGCTCATACTGTAGAAGTCTAAAGTTAGAAGCATCGTGTGCAGTTCAGCCTCTTGGCAGAGAGGAGATCTGATGGGAAAGGTTTAGTCTGCAGATCTCAGAACACCTGTACAGAAGTTGACATGTGCAGGTTAAATATTCCAGGTGGTTGGTTATACAGTGTGTTAAACAGGCTCTCTCACTCAGATTCTCATCTCAGCAATAACTTGTTAATTCAAAGCCACGTTATTTACACATGAACAAAGGAGTTTGATACATTAGGCTTCACGTCTTATAA